TCTTCCATCTTTATTTGACCCTCTAACTCTAGCACTCTCTATTCTAATTCTATTCTTTATAAAAACTTAAAAAAAAAAAACTTGCCCCTTTTAGACTTGTACTCTATTCATTTACTAACTACTTGTTTTCTTAAAAAAAAAAAAAACCTAACACTAGCTTCTCTATTCTTTTTGCATTCTATCTATTTCTTTTCTTTTTATTTATTATACAATTAACAAAAGCAAAAAAGGCCTCTAACACTAGCTTGCTCTATTCTTTTTCTATTCTATCTGTTTTCTTTTTATTTATTATATAATTAAAAAAAAACCTTGCTACATGTTCTACGTTAGGTCAACTGAGACTTGTTATAGCACTTGCATATCATTGCTCTTTTGCTGATTTTGATTGCTTCCAATGTCCTCATTTGTAAGTCGCTTTGGATAAAAGCGTCTGCTAAATGACTAATAATAATAATAATAATATTTCACAAGTATTATAGTATAGTATTGTTTTCTGAATTTCTGAACTCTTTCAAAACATTAAAAAAACTTTAGAACAGTAGTGTAGTATGTAATAAAAACATGGTGAAATGACAGATGGGTGTGAGTTAAAAACAATAAAATGCAAAGAAGAAAAGCTGTAGGGGATGACTTGTGCCACATCTGACCTTAATTAAAGTGTCAAATGAATTTTATATCATTCTTGATAATTTGGTTTACTCTTTACATAAAAAAAAAAAAACATGAAAGTGCAATTTTCTGTCCTGTGTTGAAATTATTTCCTTTTAAAAGACACAAGACAGTCATAAGGCAAAGATTTGCTACTTGCTAGTCAGCTGCAAAAGTGCAAAAGCAATATTGAATGAGAGGCATTTTCATGTAAAAAAAAAATTTTTAAAAGCCATTTTTGGACCAAGTTTTGGATAGTGCAAGACAAGTTATCAACATTTTGGTCAATTTTACGATAAATACTATACATTTTAGATGTATAAAAGGGAGAAAAACATGATTTTAAAAAAGCAAAAACATGGAAGAACATGCATTTTTATTTCCAAAGATTTTAGTCTGAATGTATACTTTATAAATTCAGACAAAAACAACATATTTTCTCATATGAAATCTTTCTTTTTAAACTGTATTAATGGGACAAAAGGGTGCTCAAATTACTCCTGAATTACCGTTTGAGTCTAAAACACATTTTACTGACAATGACTTAATTATAAAACAATAACCTCCAAAAGTGAGTCCACTTCCTTTCTGCCATACCAGTCAGACTCATACATGTCATCCAGGCACTCGTACAGATGTTTAGAAGACTCATGCATGGCTGGGGGAAACCATGAGAAAGGGATCAGCAAGGCTAAGAAAACAACATACTTGATTCATGTTGCATTTAGGTGTGTAAATTTGTCAATCGATAATCTCACCTTTCACAGCAGCCAAATAGGCCCGCAGGTCTTTCTGCAGTGTGCTACCCTCAACCTATGTAAGCACATGACACAAAATTGAAACACAGAGTCACAGACCAAGAGGATAAAACTAGAATAGATTCCCAATGCTTGCAGATGAACATTTGAAAAAAATATGAGTTAGAAAAACACTCACCAGCTGTTTGTTGAAGTTGATCACTCCCTCTTCAAATGCCAGATCTTTAGTCTCGTCTGCCTTGCCAAGCTTTTGGAGAACCTGAGAGAAGATGATTGCATTATTGACCACATTATTCATATTTTTAAAAAGCATTATTGTGGCTTGTTGCATTTCCAGTTTTGCTAGTTATGTACTTTCATGTTATTGAAATATGAAATGAACAAGAAAGTGTTTTCAATGTGCAATGACAACACAGAACTTCTATATGGAGGGAGATTCTTTGCATTGACGAGGAATACATATGTTAAACCTGGATATCTAGGGCCTATTATCCTGTAAATGTGTGTCTACAACATAAAAGACTATTGTTCTTTAGAAAACGACAGTAGCAGATTCAAGTCAAGCTAATGTAGCTGCACAGATGACCATACAGAAGATCTAAATGGGACTATATTTATTAAATACTGTACAAATATCATTGATAAATTGTCAAAGTCGTATCTATTGCTCAAAGACCATGACTGGCATATGTATTTGTGTCTGCAAAATTTAAATGAAATCTCTCATTTCCGTATTCAGTGACAGCTTGTGTGAAGAACCCAAACATCATTCTAAAGGAAATAAATAATCAATAGTCAGAAAAGACAGATGGTTCCTCGACCTATTTAATCACGCTGGTAACATTTATGAACACAGATTACTTTGAAGTTTGAGGAGGTTAAACAAAAGCTGTTGGAGTATTTTACATAAAGTTGTGAAATGTCAGGCTGCAGCAATCACAAGTGGTGAAGGATGAGGGGCATCAGTGCGCGATGCAGCTGCTCATTTACTGTGGTGAAGGGAAGTCTGACTTATTTCCGCGAATCGGTTCTTTAGAACAATTCGTTCAAAGAACCGGTTAAAAAACGTCATTGCGTCATCACGTGAACGCGAAAACAAATCAACTACTGTTCTACTTGTATACTTTTCAACTTATAAAACGTCATACGACTCTAGACATACTACAATACAAAAATGCACTCATATCACAGAGTTCTCGTCTCATTACAAATCACACATGCCACATGCATGCATGAACGTGACGGTTCTCGGTGTAATGAATGAGTGAGCCGACGACTCTTGATCAGATTCGTGAACGAATCGTTCGGACTTGTTATGTGAACCGATTCATTAAAAGGATCCGGACATCGCTGCCACGCTAATCTATTGGAAGTGCACTGCTAGGTAATGCAAAGGTTCATAGGCAAAGATGGGTTAATTGAAGCTTAAAGCACATTGAGTACTGATCGTCGTGGTTTTAAATCGAACGCACAAATCTAGTGTAATAGGCTTGTTTCCATAGCAGCCCCATTGCAATTAAATAAACAGCGAGCTTGCGCTTTCAAAATTGCATTATCCATAAAATTATCAAAACATTTGCAAATATAGGTGAGGCAAATGCACGTATTTTAGTATTTGATAGTCAGTATATGGATGAGCCTCGACTCTGACACGTTCCTTTTATACATCACGCTATGAGGACGATACTAACGGCCTTAGATGTTTTATTGTGATGTAAGGTAAATAACACTGAGATCAGCGTTGAAAGAGATTATGTATTTGATATACATCTGATGATTAAAATGTCTTACCTTTTCCTGAGCCCTGGTAATTTTTTTCTGTACACTGCTTGCTATTTTTCCTGCGGATACCCCTTTCCCCATCGGTAATTCAGCCATTTTTATCTGGATTGTGTTATTTGCTAATAACGTGTCAAAAGAGCATTTGTCACAATATCTAATTCAACAGATTAATTTTTCCCTCAATGCAGGTGCATTAAATTCTAGGCCTTATAATAACACTCGCCCCTGGAACAGAATGAACCTGCACAAGCGCACACGATACAGATGGCCATTGACCAATGACAATAGCGCAGTCTTAAAGGGACAGTAAACTATTTTTCATGTCACACAAACGTAACCCATTATTTTAGACCTGTTGTCGATTTTTTAGTGGTTTTACAGTGAAATGTTTAATAGAAATATTTATACTTGAGGCCAGGTCTTTATATTGTACAAGAGTTGTTTCTTCTGAAGGACGTATTGACCAGCTGAATTACTGAAAATGGATTCAAAGCTACTACTTCAAGCTCATAAACAATCATAAAAACTGGACTCAATGATTTGCTTCAGTAGTCTATTTAAATCAGTAACATTTGCTTTAAATACATTAAAAAGGAAGAAAAAAGGAAAATAAATGTTTGTGGGTTGTGCATGGGTCAGCCTCATCTGCGGATTGGCATGAGCAGAACTCTATAAACTCCAGAGTTTCTCCGCAAAATCTCCATCACATTTCAGCAGATGGCTCTGATTTATTTGTGGTACACAGCCAGCCTCTTAGTGGTTCGTGGATCAAACATTTATTGGAGCACCAGAATTAGGCAGTCCAGAGCATTTGATAGTTTGTGGTAAGACCTCAAAGCACAGCCTCTAAGGAAGCTGCAAGTGATGTAATTACTATTTCAAAACCAATAGCCATCGGTTGCATGCACAACAATGGAAACAAAAGGAAAATATTAATATATATAAGATGAAACATACACTAAATATGCCAAAGGTAAAACCAAATATTAGTGTATTTGTACTGTGTCAAATATATAGATTTAGGTGCACTCTAAAAAATGCTGGGTTAAATATAACCCAGCGCTGGGTAAAATAGGGACAAACCCAGCAATTGGGCTGTTTTGACCCAGCGGTTGGGTTAAATGTTTAACCCATCCTTCTGGGTAGTAACCCAACCGCTGGGTCAAAACAACCCAATTGCTGGGCTTGTCCCTATTTTACCCAGCACTGGGTTGTATTTAACCCAGCATTTTTTAAAGTGTGGTATAAGTGAACTCACCTATATGCACCTATATGCAAAATAACCACTCAAATCATGCAAACATGCAAATATGACCTATAGAATTATA